ATTTTTTTCTATTGTAGGTTGTACAATTATACAATGTATTTACACCCGAGAAAAAACTGAATGATTTTAAAACATTGTATGTTGTAAAAATACTGTTATCTAACGAAGATGTTGGTATTTTTTCTTATTTTACAGATATTTAGTTTTTAATTTTCTTGATTATAACTTGAACCAAATTATTAAACGTAGCAAACCATTGCCAGAAGATCATATTAGATCGATTATCTATTCAATTATTCGTGGTTTGAAGGTATTATATGTTATGTCACAATATCTAGCTAATGTAACTTTGTTCTTTTTTCTTTCTTTCTGGTCTAGTTTATTCATTCAGCTGGTATTATGCATCGTGTAAGTGCAACAAAAATAATTTCCTCTACTAAACATTGTTGATTGTTTTGTTAAAATAGGATCTAAAGCCAGCAAATATTGGAATAGATCGAGAGTTAAATGTTGCAGTAAGTATTGTACTCATGTAAAAATTAAAGTTTTTAAATTAATTTAAGTTTCACGTATTAATGTTTTCGTCACTTATTTCAACTTACTAGCAAGAACTCGTGCATACTGCATGGCAGCGTTATTTTTAACGTACGATCTCAAAACTTTAACCTTCCGCTCGGTAATAGACACATAGACACTCGACATTATGTACATAGAAACTATACGGCGTGATATCCTTATATCGTTAATAGCCCATATAGCCTTACAGCCTTATATTTCTTGTAACCTCACGCACTTGTAGTCGTACCATTGCAGCCTTATCCTCTGAGGGCGGGCTCCTCCTTATCGCGTTCCTCTCTTATAGCCTTACCACTTTATAGCCTCACCTCCTTATTGCCTTACTCCCTTAGATCCTTACCCGTTAATAGTCTTACCTCCTATAACCTTATTCGACCTTTAACCTTTGATTCTTGATCTTTAATCTTTGACCTGATCCACACAGACACGCAGGCACTGAACATTATATATATAGATTAGCACTAATAAATTGAAATAAATATGGAAAGTACTAATAAATGAATGTTTTATAGTTTCTGTTTTGCATGTAATACAATTAATTTTACTTGCTTGTCGTCTAAGACATTTTTAATATTGAAATATGTTGTTTTTTTTTCATTCAACTTTCATTAGTTGATCTATAGTTTGGATAGATTGTGAGATCGTGATCTCACATGTAGAGGGAAGTTTCCTGAAGAGCGACAGAAGAAAACTTCATTGAAAGTAGACAAATGTTTACTATTGTTGTTTCGTTTCTTGATAGATTTCTGATTATGATTCGATATATTAAAACAAAAAAAAACCAAAGTTTCTGTTGTTAAAGAGCGGCCATTTAACTTTTTAATTTTCTAAATGTACATTTGTACTGCGCTGCGAAGCGCAATATTTATGTTGATTGACGAGAGTTTGCTTCTCTCAGACTATGGATCAATAGTTCGTAGTTCGTTTCCCGATAATAGAGAATTAGAAAATAATGATTCGAATATGAGAATAAAATTTTATGATTGAATCGGCACCATCCGTTTTCTGGTTTTTTTCTAGAACATTTCATTTGTTAACAGATAAGGCAAAATTTTGTGTTGTTCAACGTATTACATAGATAATTAAAATAAAAAACAACAAGAAAAGTTAGCTACCAATCCTGGAACAACTAATTTCATACTAAAACGTTTCACGCTCAGTCGTAGAAACGATTGTTGCTGGTTTTTTTTCATGAGATTTTCATTTATTGATAATCGATATTCAAACCTTTGCACCATATTTCGCAATCGAATGTAACTCGAATGTTATCTAAGGTTAGAAGGTATCACTATTCATTATATCTTCTGCTATTTATTTTACAGATTCTTGATTTTGGCTTATCTCGTGTTATATCAGATGGTTATCAAACTGGTTATGTTGCTACCCGGTATGTCAACAATCTTTATTTCTATTACAAAAACTTTTCTTATTAGATGGTGGCGTGC